TCCTCACTAATCAGCAGGTTCTGAAACAAATCTTCCAGATCATTCGTGTTTCCCTCCCCTGGCTCGTTGCCCTCCGCAGGCTCCGGGGGAGGTGGGTCATCAAACCACCGTAGACCACGTGTAATCAGGTCTTGAATAGTTCTCGTCCGATCTTCTATTCCTTCGATCTCCTTGTGCATCATAAGCTCTCGGGAAATCCGCATCGCCTTGTCAAGTTCATCTTTGGCTAATAAAACAACAATTGTTTGACTGATTCAGCACTTTTCATACGTTTTCTATTTTTAACAAGCCAAAACTGATTCATAGCGAAAAATACTTATTGAGATTAATAAAATGTAAAGCTTTCAGCATGAGCATACAAATATCTGGCAAACTTTTTTCGGCTGTCAGTTAATTGTTATACAAATTAACGACATATATTTCCCCCGAACAAGTGTTTTTAAACTTTACTGCTAAGTGTGATAAAGCGACTGCTTGACCTTGAAATGATTACGAGCATATACAACCGTGACAACAAATGCAGTGCCGGTTTCATGCAGCGCACAGACACAGGACCCTTACGGATTTTGATTGGCTTAGCGATCATGCTACATGCTGAATCTGGTACGTGGGCACTTTCTCTCTAAAAAGCAATTGATAAAAATGTAATTTTTCGATACTATCACGCTCGTACTCAGGCCGAAAAAAATGGCCCAACTCCCACGAGTCTCAGGTAGCTTTGTGGTAGAGTATTCGATAGCCATTATTTAGTTTCGACTTCTGTCGGAATTTTTTAGAAGTATACGTTTGACGGTATAGGAAAATTACATCCTCATTATTTCTACACTTAAAAAATTCACCATCTTATCATTTCACTCTAAAATAGATCAATGTTTCACTTTAGACAATACGATTGAAAAAATGAAACCATCTTGGCATGTTTCAAATGAGAGCTAAGTTCGATTCTCTGCCAGTAAACTTCACCGAACTTTTAAACTAATGGCGGGTAAAACAAATATCGGACACTTGCGGAAGGCACTTTTCAAGCAGTTTAATTATAGCTGTGCAATTTTTGTTTCACTCCAACAAAATACCCGTCAAAACACTCCAAAAGTAAGACAACAGTTTACTTTCTTGTGACAAAAAATATACCCCGGATTACCTCTTTGGAAATCCAGATTCCTCTCTCCCTCCGATACGCCTAACCCTCTCCTAGTCGCCCTACGGATGAAGTAGTCTGCCTTCCCGATTAGGAACGTGGCTTTCAATCTCTTGGGACATTGAGAAAGTAGATTCCTCTCTACTTTCTGGATAGCAATGCCTGCTTTGGCAATGTTAACTTCAGAGACTTCTTTACTGTTAAGAAAGTAAAGAATAGTTTGATATTGAATATCTTGTCCTATGCAGCTTCGGCTATGCTATTTAAGGTAAAAGCCAGTGGCCGGTTAACGCTATTTAACTGTGGTTTTTACCTCGCTTCTTTCAGAGGTGTTTTTGCCGAGCTAAAGGTGAAGAACTTGCTGAGTGAAAACTTAATGAGAAAAACGGATTGGTAGTTTCACTGGAATCAAAGTTTACACTAGCCTTTGTTTAGCTAATCGCGCTTTGAACAACGTTAACTGAGGATTAAACTAAGAATTTGCTTTTCTTGTTTAGGGGAAAGTGGGGAAGAAAGAACAGACTTGTTAACTTTTCCTGACCTGTCTCTGTTGAAGCGATTATCAATTTTTCTTCACTTTGTCGCAGATATATAAGCCAATTGTAATATTACAGATTCATATTATCTTGTAACAGACCTTATGTGCCTTTTGGCGCAAAGGAGACCGATAACAGGTAACATATTATCTTACAAAGACAGCTGTATATTAGTTGAGCACACCAGCCCAACAAGAACAATTCTCCTGGCATCAGAGGTCAGTAATGTTGTAAGCACCACTTGCTAAACTCAAAAGGGGTCGTAAACGAACAGCACACCTCTTCAAAAAGAGTGAGGAACTGAATTCCAAGTTTCATGAGAACAATTTTAAGTCATGTTGGACATTGTCACAATAAATTAGAAATGTTGGCACAGTGACACTGGACGAGGACTTCAGTCAGGTTTGAGATATAGGATGTCAATTGAGCTAATCGCGCTCTTTCGTGGTTTGCAATTTGGTGAACACCGTTTGAAGTAACTTTCTGGTTGCTAATTTCACATTCATGTTTGCACATACCGTAAATCAGGAAATCTCGCGCGGGAAGTCTTTAAAAAATACATGATCATCCTGTTGTAGCCCCTTATAACACATCTCATGCTGTCGTTCTCTTTCTGCTGCGACCAAATTTCCGCAACTTCCTCAAACAGTCGCTCGGCCTTTCGCTCTTCGTCGGCTGTTAAGCCAACAGCAGCTGATTTCTCCGCCAACAGGGCTGCTGCATTGTACCTGTTCACTGCGTTTTCTTCACTTAGAAAAGCGGGCTCCAGACACTGAAACCAAAACATTTTTTTGCAACAGTTTGAGAAGTTCACCATCTTGTCACACGTCAGTCAACCAACAGTTTAAGTGTTGTAAAGGTTTTAGTCCTCTAATGTCAGAAAAAAAGGTGCTGTTTCAAAAATATAAAATTACGTAAAAGTTTTTCTGTCACGGAGACTGCATGCGGGAATCCAGCTTGTGACATCAGTCTATTTTATTCCTGTGCTACATGTGAGCTATTTGAGTCAACAACCTAACCATACATTTTTTTAATTAAGTGATTACAGCCACACTGCATAGTCCTTCTTTCTTCATAGGTTTCATCTTGCTTTCAGTCATGATTTCTTGTGGATCAGGTAGAAGAAAGTCACAGAGGTGAATCACGTGCCCTTTTGGCCGCACCCTCTTCAAGGACAATTTCGAAGGGAAAATAGCGCCTTTTTTTCAAAGCAAAAATACCATCGTTCGATAATTTTAGAAACGAGGCATACTAAGCATAGAATCGCTTTCATAAGTACCGAGAGAAGAAAAGAAGAAAAAAAATCTATTTTTAGTAAATTTTTCCTCACTTTATCTTCTGCTTGCCCTTGATGTGAGATTTCAGATTCGCCAAATTAAAGAGGTAACTCTCAACCAATGTTAATAATTACTAATTAGTTACACTTTTATTTGCCTCTATCTGTTTTTGATGGAGTCGCACATGTACGTTATGGTTTTACCTCTGAGGACTTGTCCATATACTCGTTGGCCAAGTCAAATTCCTTGGTTTGTCGGTAAACAGCAGAGATGATGTAAAATGCTCTCGTAAGAAGAAACGGCCAGTTGCCCGAGTTGAGGTGAGTTGCGCGTTCACAGACATCTCTACACTTTGCCAAACAGTCTTCCTTCCTGTTTTGTATGTAGTAAAGTTTTGCTACCTTCAAAAGAAAAATTATAGGAACAATGCATGATACACTAGTTGATGAGTTTAAGGTGGCTCAAAACAGTTTCCAGCACTAAGATTTTGATGGGTCGTTACAACCACTCTTTATCACTTGATGTTACAATGATCATGGTATCAAAAATTTGCCCAATCTTTGGTGAACACGTTGTTATCATTTTCGTGATACAATAGGTTACCATAGCAACAGTATGACCTCCTAAAAACACCCTTAATTACAGCTTTAGGGGCTTATAATTCAAAAACGGCACGGTGAAATTTTTTTTATATTATCAACTTTTAATAAGCATGATAAGACGCAACTTTTGGCAAAGTTTAAAAAATTTCTGTAGGTAGGGTTCAGAGCCACGTAAAATTTTCGAAAATTTCGCCCTAATTTCAAGTCAAATGACATATACTCCCTTATCTTCCTATTGATTAGCGGAGGTATTCAGTAACGAAAGTTCTAAAACGTCTCTAATTTTCTTTCTTCTTCTTTCCTTGCTTTAAAAATCCGGGTGTATTTATCGGTAAGTTAATCATGTGACTACTAGGATTTCACTGTCTCAAGTGCCAAGATTTAGAGACTTAACAAAAAGGTTCTGTGCTTCTGTCCTTACCTCGAGCTCAACAGCTAACAGAAGATCCTGAAACCTCACTATTCCGTCAACTTGCTCAACAAGTTTCTGTCTGTCTCTTAGAAACTGATCGTACTGACCTGAAAAACAAAACGAGTGGCGATAAGATGTACCGAAAACAGAAAGTGACGCCCTCTCGATTTCGCGTCTAATTTCAAGTGAAATGACATACACTCCATTATCTTCCTATTGATTAGCGGAGGTATTCAGTAACGAAAGTTCTAAAACGTCTCTATTTTTCTTTCTTTTTCTTTCTTTGCTTTAAAAATCCGGGTGTATTTATCGGTAAGTTAACTAAGACCAAGAGATTATAAGAATGATAAGGCATAAGAAAAACTTACATTAGATAACAGCAACGTGGGGGAAGTAAATCTTCGTTGTGTGTGTTCAGTTGAAGGAAAAAAGACACGGTTGAATCTCCTTTCAAAAGAGCACATTGTCACGCACAAGCCTTCGGAAATAAATACACATTTATTTTAAAGTTTAAGTTATTTAATTCTTTTTTTTTGTGAGTGCGTGGAATATCGTCTTTCTGGTGAACCTGACTTCAGGTAGGCATGAATTAAAACAAAGTTCATATATCTATGCCCTTTACATTTCAGTCCCTTAAGGTGGCTAACACTGGTTTCTTGCAATTTCCAGCTCTTGTACATCGACGGATCATCACTACCGATCTTTATAAGTTTTTACCTCTATAGTGGTATAAAACAAATGCCCAATCGTTGGTAAACAATTTATGAAAATGTTTTCTACTCAATAGGTTTCCATAGCAACATTATAACCTGTTAGAAATACCCCTAATTTTAGCTTTAAGCTAAAAATAACTCAGCAACGAGCTCAGTGACCCCCTTTCTTATTGTTGAGAAGTAATAAGTGTGTCAAGATGCAGCATTACGCAAAGTTTAAAAAAATGTTGGAGCGGATTAAGGGCTACCTTTTAAGGTGGCTCTGAATCCACTTCTACAAAATGTTTTTAACTTTCCGAAAAGTTTTGCTTTATTATGTATATTATTTACCGACAATAAAGCTAAAATTAGGGGTATTTTCAACAGATTAAAGTGTTGCTGTGGTAGCCTATTACGTCAAACAAAGTTTCAGGACTTGTTAACCAATGATTGGGCATTTGTTTGATACCACTACAGAGGTAATAACGCATAAGCATTGGTAGTAATGATTCATCAAGATAAAGGTGGTGGAAAGTGCTGAAAACCGGTGTGAGCCACCTATCCCAACCAGTTGGAAGTTTCATACAAACCATTGTCGCCGAGATTCACAAAATGCATCCTCATTGTTCGGCCCATTTGTTTGGCCAACACCCCTAAATCAGATAAGGTAGAAAAAAATGCCCAAAACAGTGGTTTACAAACTATAATCTGTTAAAGTTCATTGGCAACAATGGTAGGTCCATACAGTTAAGTTATTCCCACTTAAAAAGATGGACTTCGGCGACTGACGGATTCAGCGATTAAATTATTTTCGTACTGCCTTTTTTACTCTAAGGTAAACTTTAGGATACCAGCCTCGGTAGAAGAACATAATTAATGTATTTCGGGCTCGAAATTGCGATCGAGATCTGCAACTCCTCCCACCCCCAGAAAAGACGACAGACCCGATCCTCAAAAGCCAGTTGAACAAAAAACAAAAATATAAAATGGTGGCACCATGAAGAAACGACCTTGAAGGATCATACCTTGCAGTTGTATCTTTGGGATTGGCTTTTCTATTTCCGTGACCGTTCTCCCGCTCTGAAAGTCCCTGTAATGTGTACCCCTCTCGTGTGACGGAATGATGAACTGAACTGCATCTAGAACTAAAAAATCACAATGACAAAAGCGTCGCACTGAGGGTCCATAGAGAGCCTACGATGACCAATCAGTAAGGCTGTTTTGGATTGAGTCTCGGTGGTGATTTGGGCGATACAGCTGCATTGGTTTGGCCTCAAGTGATCTTGAAACGCCGTCTAGTTCGAATAGAGCTAAAGAGACCT